TTTAATTGTGTACCAGTTTAACGTTGAATATCATTTATGATTTTAACTTTATACACAAGTGCCAAAATACTATAATTAGAGAAGTAAAGGACTTTTAACGTTTTTATTGTTCCATGCTGTGACAAACTGTTTTTATTCTGTGCCGAAAATAACGATACTACTCTTTTAAGCCTTCAATTATAAATTGATTTCATTTATTTGTATATTACCAAATTATCACCTCAATAAAGAGATTTAATGTATTAACTTACTTAGGAAAAATGTAGTTTTACAGGGGTGTGGGGGAACAAAACTTTTTACCAAAAAGTTGATTTAATAGACAGTGAAGTTTCATTTGAGTTTTATGTGGAACAGCGACCTTTATTTGTAACAGTATAAAACAACTTAAAATGAAACTTTTAATTTAATTCACTGTTATAGAGTAAAGAAAAAGAAATAAACACTTTGTATTTGGTTTTATTTGTAGTGACCAACTTCAAACTCACTTATAGCTTCAGATACAATACATGGCAGTTCTTATTCTGGAAAGTTAAAAATGCCTCATGAAAAAAACTTTTCAAACTTTTTTGGAATGTATATCAAATGTTATTAAAATTTAATGATAAATTGATAATCTGACAATAGAAGCTCTGTATTTAAATATTTAACATAACAATAAAACACAAACATTGAGATTTTCATTATATTGCTCATTTTAATGGACATCATCACACACCTTTATTATTTATTTAACAACAAACTTTCAGTAATATATATCTACAGAGCTAGCTACAAACAAAGATAAGTGGTACCGACACCTAACTCTGAACTGCAAGATGGTTCATATAAAGGTTATCACAGAAAAAGTATTAAACGATAAAGTACTTTTTTTATTTATATATCATAATTTCTTAGGTATTATAAATATACTTACAATTACGGTACCAATACTATCATACAGAATAGCAAGTATTATATATTCTAAATTATTAGGCCATAATTCTCAAATAAGGTCATAAGATGTAGAAAAACAAATACAACAATTTACAAAACTAGTGTTTTATGGTTTTTGTACTTTTCACAATTAACTATTGTAAAAATCAGATGGCATGACATTTGACAGTGCTTACATAGCAAAGGCCTTAGTTTAATTTGTAATGGCATTAAATTCTGTACAGTTAATAAGCTTGGGTAGTAAGATTAGCTTTCATGGAATCTTATAAGAAGCTTACAAATACTTTTCTTAGAGAAGTTTCCTTGATAAATAATCAATTAATGTTTTAGGTAAAGGTAATACTCGAATTCTGACAGCATTATCATCATGATAATCAAGATATTGTTGTATGGCTTGACGACACAGGTGCTTTAGGGACTCAGGATAAGCACTAATGTACCACATGTAGAAGCCCTCATCCATATGGTAAGATGGTGTCAGTATCTGGTATTTCCGCAGCCATGATGATAGGTTCAAGGGATCACATCCAGACATGATTAGCACCTACACATAAAGGAACAAATACCAAATCAGTTACAAAAAGTAATAACTAATTTCTGAACACAAGTTTATAACTTAATTGAACATCTACCAGAGCAAACTTTAGTGTGTGGCCTAATAATTTTACCACCCAAAACACGTTCAATATCGTAGTAAGGGTTTCAGTAGTAAAATAAATACATTATTTAATTTTATGTTTGAGACAAAAGGCAACTTTATCAATCACTTTAAGTTTATATTATAAAACTGAAATTATAAGTTAGCTTAATCAATATTAAAGGTAGGCTTGAAGTAATGAATACGAAAAGTTTTCTTAAATCAACATTTTATGATAAATGATAAGCATGATTAGGTTTTAATTTCATTTTCTTTCCAACCTTCTTTGGTAAAGACATCAACTTGATTGCAGTAAGATCAGGTGTTAAAATTTTGTTTGTTGTCAAGTGCAAGCAACACAATGCACTATCTGTGCTCTGCTCACCATGAATATCAAAACTCAGTTTTTAGTGTTATAAGCCTTTAGACTTACCACTGAGCCACTGGGGGTCTTAATAATTGTCTTACTTTAATCAAAGCAAATTTTTTTTTAAACTAAGGAAAATTTTATCAGTTCTAATGAAAATGGTAAGTATGAACACTAGCTTTTATACATTTCAAACAGCTGCCCGAGTTGCTTAACTGTCAAGACTCAATACATTCTGCAATCTTTATATCTGTTTAGGCTGTTTTGTTATTAATTATTAGTAACAAAATACTCGTACAGTAACAATACAATGTTATACCAAAATAAATGAAAGATATGACGTACAAAGCCGAAAGCTACTTCACACCTGCTTAATGTTAAAATATGCAATAGAAATCAGTACACAAAATTAGTGGAAATGAAATTTGTACTACAACTAACAGGCCTAACTCGTCATAGCTCTATAATTTTGCACATTTAAAACAATCCTGAATTAAGCATAAGGTTTGGGTTGGTGAATACACAACAGCATCTAAAAATATGTTGAGGCTTGAGTTTGTTTTAGATTCATCTCATTGAAAAATTATGAGGTTTCGAAAACTAAAACGTTATTGTTTATTAAGATTGAGGTTTCATCAAAGCCTTGCATTTCATGAAACATTCATTTTTAAATGTCAAGTATTAAAGCCAGCATTTCCTTCCAACAGGATTATTATGACTGATGTGTTGCTAGCTTGCTTAAACAGCCATTGTTATATAAACTTAATCTTTTTTTTTCATTGAGCTTGAAAATAAAGTGCATTTTGTTTTAAAACCGAATGATTTATTTCTATACCAGTTGGGTATCAATTCATCACTGTTTATCATACTTTTCTTCTAAAGTATGGCCATGGTTGATTTTGCTAGACATCTCTTTTTCAGGGCTGCTAACCTTCCATAAATGTATAGACATTCAGTAAAAAAGTTATATTTGAACTGTCCTTAAATCTGTAAATAGCAAAAAAATTTTTTTTTCAGTAAAAATAGGCCACTGTTTGTCATTATGTATGTAAAAACAAAATTCTAAAGTTGACAACCCTGCTTTCTTTTTACATGAAGGTAGACAGTGACAGAATAATGATTTTAAGACCCAGTTTTGTTAATTGAAATACTATCTATTTTTAAATTTGTTGATTAACCAATACTTAGGGCTCATATTGAGGAAGAATGGTGAGGAATGCTGTTACCATCGATAGTGGAATGAAAAAAAATTAAACTGTCAAATACCCAATTGTGAAAATGTGCATCTACGAGTAGATTTAAGGAATTCCCCTTTTTAACTTTTCACAACTCAAATGCTGCCAACAGTTATTAGTTAAGTGTTTTAATACTTCTATGCGAGCTAAGATTTGGATTCAAAATGTCACATCATAGATCAAGAATATAAAGTTTTCTTTTATTACAGGAAATTGTTTTCCCAATTAAAGGTTCTAACTGTTGAATTCTAGATAACAGGATCATATTTTTGATTTGAAAATATTCAGTCCACTTAAGATCAATTCTAACATTTTCCATTGATATCTACATAGAGCAAGCAACTATGTGTTCTTCACAAAGTATCAATATGCTTCCGGAAGTATGCTAAGATGAACTTTTCAATTTACATATGCAAAGTGACAGGTCTAACAATTATATAAAAATTTGAATATAAATCATTTTCAATAATAGGAAAGTACAACTAATCTACTATACAACTATCAAATAGTTTCATATCTTCCAAGAAAACCAGTTTAATTTACAGGATGAATATTCATCACTGATCTCTTTCTCTCTCTAGGTAACAATATCTGGGCAAAATATTAATGATCATGGCCTTCCACAGATCCTAGTCTTTTATTGTTTTCAACACTTCTGCTTCACTCATGTTCATCCAATTACAGAGACTACTAATTTAAATCTACTTCATGTCCCTTCAATTTTTCCTGTTACCACTAAATTTTCTAGCTTGTCTTTTCTCATTACAATAACCCAGGAACTAGTCTTTTTTAAAATTTTTTATCGGGTCCCTGTGTGTTTCTGCTCTTCTTAGCACCTACACATTCTTCTGTAAAACCATAACTCAACTACTTGTAGTCTCTTTTCTAAAGTTAGTGAAAGTGTTCAACACTCACTACCATACGTAAAAATTGAGCATACATAACAATGTAACACTTTTCTTGGTTTCCATTGATATTTTCCTATCTTTCAGTATATTTCTCATTTTCTGGAATGTATCCTTTGCCATAACAATTCATTTCTTAATTTCTACATCAGGTTTACCATTGGACATTATTAAGCTTCTCAGATAGTTAACTTTTCTACTTGTTTTATGGCTTCTTTATTTATGTTTAATTCACACTTTGAGACATTCTTTTTCTTGCTTATAACCATACACCCTGTCTTTTTTGCAGTTGATTATTAGGCCCCTTTTGTTGATTTCTTCTACAAATTTATCAAGTAATTCTTGAAGATTTTCTTTAGTCTGTTATAATCACTTTGTCATCTGCATAATGTAGGTTATTCACACTATGCCCCCCAATTATGAGTCACTGTATATTACCAATTTCTCTTAGAATCTTTTCTCATTATAGATTAAACGAATTTTAAATTGCCAAACTCCTCTTTGGGTTTTGTGTACCTATTTATCTCATCTCCTATTCATATTCCTACTGTTTGTTCCCAATAGATTTCTAATGTCTTTCCCATTTAGGTCTAGTTCATTGAGCATTTAATGCTTTATTTCATCAAATCGTTTTGTGTTATCTATGACACACAGGTAAAGATCTTTCTGTGCTTCAATGGCTCATTCGGAAAGCATTCTGAGGATGAATATTGCACTTCTTGTACTAGTGTCCTCTACAAATCCACATTGTTCTTTGCCAATTTCAGGTTTTATAATTCAAGTTCTCAATATAATAATATCCATAATAATTATTATTTTGTGATTCATAAGGCTTATGGTGCAAAGTAATTCACATTCAGTTGCACCAGGTTTCATTGTGAAGGCAATAAAAATTGAATGCCTTAGATCTAAACCTTCATCATTGTCATATATTTCATTTATCGCTTAGTTATTTTTTTATTTTGTTTTTTTTTATGCCAAGCTCTTCCAAAGCTTGTATCATTTAAATTGTGATTACATCTGGTTCTGCTGTTTTGTTTCTTTTCATTTTCCTGACTGCAACTCTCACCTCCAATTTTAAAAGCTTTGGTCCATCTGTGTTTTTCCTAATTTCTGGTTTTTCACCTCTGTTATCCTGAAAAAGCTCAACAATTATTCTGACCACCTTTCCATGATACTGCATATAAAATGTCTTACAATACATTTGTTAGTTATACAATGATTTTGATATACTGAAGATTTAGGTCAAAAGGTTACATTGCACTAACAAATTATTTTAATCATTAATCAGTATGGAAATATATTCAGTAACAGCCAGTATTTTAACTAAAGTAACTGTTGCCAGTTTTCCACCCTGGGTTTTTAAAATGAAAGAAACATCCTGCACTCTATTCTTGAATAAAGCAAATTCTACCTTCTATATGTTTATAGAAAAATCAAACCTTAATAGCTGGAAGATGCTGTTGAAAGGTGTCTCTTTTCCGCTGCAGTACATTAATGGCACGAATGCAACAATATAAAGGAGTTCTCCATTTTAGGTCCATATGGTCAATCTCTGAATGTCCCTGGGCCACATAACAAAAAGTTGTCTCTCAATCAAAATTTAAGTAATTAATAACAAATTTCAGCGTGAAAATTAATAACAAATGTTTTAATATAAGATACAATATCAAACAAGAATATACAAGCATTTTGTTAAGACAAACAATTGCTTTTAGAAAGTATTTTATTTCAAGTCAAAAGTGAAAGATTGAATCATATAATTAAGTTAAAACAACTTCAGAAATATTTTAAACTCCTCATACACTAAAAAATATGAGGATGTATTTATGTAAACAAAAATAACCTTAACTTTCCAACAGCTGAAGTGACACTTTTAGAAAATAAAAGAGCAACAACAAATGTAAATTAAACATTTTTTTGGGATTTTCACATTGAACAACACTTTATGCAACATATGGGCTTTATAGCCTTAGGGTTCAAACATAGCCATCTTCAATTTAAACTTGTTGAACTAATATTAACTACTTTACTCAGCTTTTAAGATATAACTATGCTATGACTTTTATATTGTATCTACTATTTCAGCACTGAAATTTTTACATTAAAGTACTCCAGTGGATAATTATTGGACAAATTAAAGCAGTTGGAAAGATTGAAAACAAAATGCATTACTTATTATCTCTGAAAATAAAAATTCACTTCAAGAAGAAGAAGAAAAAGTACCATACTGTAAGTCACAATTTTGCATAAATATGAATTTAATACACATTTCTTGGATGTAGCTAAAATTAGACAACTATTATTAATTTCCCATTGAACTGAAAAGGATGCCAGAATTACAAAGTAATTCTTTTGTAGTTATTACTCCTTTATCTAAAACCAGTAATCTATGTAAGTAACAATTAAGAAGTGACCTTAAATCACCTTAACCCTTTCACAACAGGTTTATGTAAAATATACAATCCCATCTGGGGAAGGATATATGTGCAATAATACATAAGGTAACGCTGAGATTTAACATATCTCCACAAAAATTGGGAAGATTTTAAATATTTTGTACACAAAGAATGAGATTATTTTAATTAAGTCTTTCTACTTAAAGTATATTATTTATCTATTGTAGTTATTTGCACTCAGACTCAAAATGATAATCACTTTGCACTCAAACTATTTAAAGTATAAAAATACTTTTTTTTCATCTTATAGTTTTTGAATCATTTGCATAAGCTATAGAACCTCCTGAAAGAATATCAAGTTTGTTATTTTCTCTACCATATTACTAACTGTAAATATTATCATCAATATGCATTGCAATGAAATGTTTAAAATTAAGAAACTGAAAAATGTACATACCTTTTATTTTTTGTAAAATAATCTTAAAAGATCTTTTGGTTGTATTTGTATATGTAGTTAATTTTTAATGTTTTATTTTAATTTCTTGTCTTTTACCATTCATTATTGATCTTAAAACTAGTCAACTGTACCGTTTGAGCATATTACATTGTCTTTGGCAGAGATGCGTAACCCTTGAGAACGAAAGCAAAGTTTGAGTTATATAAAACAAATTTTTTAACCTTTGAAATATGCATTTTAAATTAACACATAATTAACTAAAATATAAAAGTAAAACCTAAATACAAATACAATTTTACCGTCTCTCCATTAATATACATATTTAGGTAAGAGACAACCACAAGTGCTACGAAGGACAAAGCAGACAAAAATTACTACCACCAGTTACACATTCCAGATAATGAAAACCATGCACCAATTTTAAGATAACCATTGGGAGATTATAGTGCAAAATGAGCTCTTTCCAACTGTTATAAACATGTAGATCAAATAAGTACATGTGGCTTGTAAATCTCAAGTCTAACTATAGAAGGTGAGCATGGCACCCATCAGAGGTTGGCAAAATGTATTTCTTGTGTTCACTGAACTCAGTTAAAGAACTTTGGAACATATGTGTAAATAGTGCAGTAAATGTAGTTTTATCTAACATAAAATTCAAAATTATAACATACACTATAATGTTAATTTAATTGACATAAATTAGTAATAAAGTTGTTTAATTAAACTTTAAATGTAACTTAGCAACTTGTGCAGAAAGGGGTTTAAAGGGGGTATTGGTTGCAAAAGGATTAAAAGATCCAATAAATACAAAATTCGGTGAAATGTGATGGTGGAACTAATGCATAAAGTTGGTAACTTTTCAAAAACTTTTTGCCATGCATCTGTTAACCCTTTCGATGCAGGTCATGGGGAAAAACCATGTTATCTCGTTTGTTGACTTGCATTCAAAATTTTATTGGTATCAAACTGTAGATTATAATTGAAATTTTAGTACTATATATTACTTAATTTCTTAATTTAAAGGTAAATATTAAAAAAATACAGATAAACTTTGATTTTTGTATGTCACATGGTATGTTGAATGCAGCACTGGTTCAAATTAGATGTGAAGTCAAAATACCAAGTCTATAGTTTCGAACAAATTACAAACTCAAATTACTGATATTGAAAAGCTCTTATCTTTTCAATTTGTGAAGATATTGCTCATG